TCCCACCGTGCCCCTCTCCCACTGTGCCCCTCTCCCACCGTGCCCCTTCTCCCACCGTGCCCCTGTCTCACCGTGCCCCTCTCCCACCGTGCCCCTTCTCCCACTGTGCCCCTGTCTCACCGTGCCCCTCTCCCACCGTGCCCCTCTCTCACCGTGCCCCTCTCCTACTATGTCTCCTCCCAACTTCATGTCCCTCTTTTTCTTTTATTGACGCCTCTGAGTCCGTTTAGTGCTGGCTGCATCTCCATGGTCAGTGAAGCAGGGTGACTTGCCAGACCTCACTCCGTTCTCCCTTCCCGTCAACTGTAGCAGCTCCTCAGCTAGGGCTCCGCCTTGTGAGCTCCCCTGCACAGAAAACTCCTCCTACTTCTAACTAGGTGACATCAGTATATAGAGATGCAACGGGCGTTAGTATATTGGCTTTTACTCAGTAACTTGGTGGACTTATTTACTGACTCTAAGAACAGAACAGTGAGTGCATTTGCAGATTCTTCAGAGCCCTCTGTTTACATAGACATTTTTGTATCTTTTATTTATCTCTTCATTGTATTTATGCTATTTGATTTTTCAAATTATTTTTAAAATAAAATTTTCTTTTAGTCGACAAATTTTAGAATTGTGTATATTTATCATAGACAACATGCTATTTTAGACTATGTAAGACTATGTACATATTGTGAAGTGACTAAATCAAGCTAGTTAACACATTTTACTTTACATTCTTAAAAAATCCCTCTTAGGCCGGGTGGTGGTGGCACACGCCTTTAATCCCAGCACTTGGGAGGCAGAGGCAGGCGGATTTCTGAGTTCCAGGACAGCCAGGACTACACAGAGAAACCCTGTCTCGAAACAAAACAAAACAAAACAAAACAAACAAAACAAAATCCCTCTTAGAAAATTTCAAGGGGACAATGCCTGCCGTTCACTACCCTCTGTGTTTATCCTGATAAGCACTTTTACTATATTCCTAAATAAGACCAAATCCTTTTCTGACAGTGATAACATAGTTGGGGATTTTGTTTAGTGACTTTATTGTGTAAAATGTAATGTTAGTAGCCATACGCTAGTTACTAAAATTAGATTAAGTTCTGTTGGTCCTCCAAACTGACAGCATTTGAGGCTTCCTGGTGTGGTTATCCTTGGCCAATATATCTCTTTGGGTCTGTTTCTTTGATGGCCAGTTGAGGCTGAGTCACCATATTTTTGGACAGTCTCTAATCCTTTCTGGCCTTTTGGAACCATGACAGTGGGGTGTTCTCGAGACATGGGACTCTGGGAGCATCCTTTTCCTGCCTGTATACTGTCTGGGCTTCCAGAGGAGCCATGCCTGGACATGAGCAAAAGAACCTGGCTGTGGTGGTAGTGCCTGATTAGCCTAGATTAAACACCAGAAGAAAGCACTAGAGGGAACCTTGGGAATTTGAACCAGAAATTAATTGATAAGGCTTAATCCAGTGCTCCTACCTTATATGGTATGGAGCTGTCTTTCAGAACATCTTGACTCCTGGGGAACAGCAAGAGGCATAACTGAGGCCTTATTGTTGTAGACACAAGAAGGGGTTGTTTGGCCTTGACTTGCCAAACTGTTCCCTCTGTCTTCTGACATGTGACATCAGATGTTCAGTCCATGGAGTCATATGTGCATCCTAGCACCTAGAAGTGAAGGAGGCAGAGCGCTCTGCAGAGCCCAGGGGAGCTCAGACAGTGTGCAGTTACTTCTGTGCCTGTGTATGCAGCTGAGCACACTGGTGCTGGAGAAGGGAGGGCATGAAGCCCAAGGTTGGGCGCACCTTGACTTCTTACTCCTTTCTCCACAGTTTCCAATCAGAGAAGACATTCCTCCTTGGCCCGGATACATTCTATGATGATTGAAGCACCTATCACCAAGGTTGGTCTTCACTGAGTACGCAGGCCCCAGGTACCCCCAGAAAACTGTTTCTCTGACAGAAAATCAACAATAAGAGTGTTCTTTCAGTTGTATAATATTGTCTGCTCTGAGCAAAGGATAGGTGACAGAGACAGAGAAAGATGGATACCGAAGATTAACATGGTGGCACAGTCACAGACTGTTGTCAACCTGACTCTTGACTGCTCTGTGTTTTGAAGGTTACAAAACTCAAGACTTCTATTTCCATGATGTAGGTAATCAATATTATCAACGCTGCCCAGGAAAACAGTCCTATGCCTGTGACAGAAGCCTTGAACCGCGTGCTGGATATTCTGAGAACCACTGAGTTGTACTCACCGCAGTTTAATGCTGAAGATGACCCTCACGCCACCGACCTTGTTGGGGGCCTAATGTCCGTAAGTCTATTTGCCCAGGCTACTGTAGCCTGTCTGTTCCTGTTTGTTTTCTCAGAGATTGTCTGAACGGGGCTTTAAAAAGGCAAGCAGAGCACCTATGTAGGCTCAGTGAAACACATCTTCTCCATGGTTTGTATTCCGCTGTGCTTGGATTAAGGGGCTGCCTGCTGCTGGCCTCCAGGGAAGCCCCGGCCTGGAGTAGCAGAAGGAACAGTGTTCAGACAGTCCACTGATCCCGCTCCCCAGTGTCACTTAGGGTGGTACAAGTCGTTTATTTAAGACATCTCAGTTGTAGTGAAGAGTTTTATTTGTTTGTTTGTGGCAGGGTTTCACTATGCAGCCTTTGCTGTCCTGGAACTTACTAGATGAACCAGGCTGGCCTGAACTCGTAGAGATCACCTGCCTCTACCCCCTGAGTGCTAAGTTAAAGTGTGTACACTACCATACCCAGTTTGTCTTAAAGATTTTTAAATCTGGGAAAAAGAAAAACAAAAGGGTGTCACACAGTGGTAGGGTACAAACCCTCGAGTTCTATCTCCAGCACAAAATGGAGCCAACAACGCAAACAAACACCACACACCTTCAACAGAATGCGACAAGGTGACCTGCAGAGTGGGAGCCATTTCCTGCCTTATGTGTTTAAAAAGGGCCAGGGGCACAGCATCACATCCCCAGAGAGCTCCCCACTAGCCTTTGGCTAACAGTTTCGGGAAGAAGGCATTAAGGGTGTGTCACTACATGGAGACTCTTGAGGAGCCCAGGCACCACCTCAGCCAGTGCAGAGTACTCTCACAAGGGAAGACAAATCCCATTGTTCTGCCAGCCATCTCAGTTAGAAATAAAAGTTGCTCCCTCCCAGCTTTGCTCTGTCTGAAGTCACGTGGGCAGTGAGTTCTAGAAGGTAGGGTCCCAGTGCCAGCCTCTAACTCTGGTCAGGGGTGAGCATGGGGAAGGTAGGGGAGAGATGGTACCACGAGAGCAGACAGGGTACCGAGTGATTAGTCTCGTCCTCAGGAGTGAGGGAAGGGTCCGCTTAGAAGGTAAGAGAGAAGTGTTCCTGAGACAGCTGAGAAGAAAATGGGGGACCTGAGGGTGCAGGGTGGTTGTCACTAGGGCAGTAGTTGGTCCTGGAATGAGGCAGGCCTGTTGGTCATCCTGCCTGAGCCTTGGTTCCAGAAGTAGAGTCCAGCACCCAGGAAATGACTAAATTTGGAGTTAGCCACAGTGGTCAGTCTGCGAGACTGGGCAGCCTTGCACTGGGCTGTCCTGGACTGTCCTCTGGGGCGGACTGTCTGGGCTGTGCAGTTAGGAAGGAAGACCGTGTGACCATGCTCTTTCTTGTCTCCTTAATTTTCACTAGGATGGCTTACGAAGGTTTTCAGGAAATGAGTATGTTCTTGCAACAAAGAGTAAGTTCTCTGTTTTTAATCTCTTAGACATCTGTAACATCTGTAACACTATGGTCCAGATGAAATGATGTTCTCATCAGTAACTCTGGGTATGCCGTGAAGCCTCAGAAACAAAGCAGCCATTTCTGATACAGCACAGCCTACCCCAAACACCAAATGCCATGGACCTGTTAATGTTGTTTTCCCAATTCTCTCACTTTGCAGACTTTCAGCCATCCTCCAGCAACATGGTCGCCCCCATCTCCCTCCATGATATCCCACCACAGATTGCCCTGGCCATAGAAAATGAAGAGCAATGGGACTTTGACATCTTTGAGCTGGAAGCGGCAACCCAACATAGGTACGAGAAGCTTGTTTGCTGGGGCCTGGACAGGGAGCTGCCCGGGCAGCACGAGTATGTGCAGAGCCATTCCCTGGGTGGGGACAGAGGCTGAGGAAGGAGGAGTGGGGCTTCAAGTTGAGTCAGTAGGCCCCAGGCAGAGTTTGCCTAGCTATGATGGCTTCCTTAAATAGCAGGTTTTCCTGTGACTAAGTCCTAATTTCTCCAGTATGTGGTAGCAACAAAGAGTCTTCTGCCCCAAAACATAGAACCAATATGATTAGTTACACATTTGATAAAACTAGCCTCAAATCTTGGTTGCCATGTTGGTGGTCCACACAGAGACTCCACCCTAGTTATGTTTGTTGGCTTATGGTTGCGGACTGGGAGTTTGGGTTTGAGGAGTGAAAGCTGTTAACCACAGGGTCTCAGTCCATAGGACTGGGCGTCCACGGCCAGTGCCAGCCAGGGGTGCCGTCCCGCTTTGGGAGAGGTGACTCTGCTGAGCTGCGGGGTGATTCACCAGGTCTCACCGAGACTCCCAGTTGACACAGCCAGGCAGGGTTAGGCATACCCCATAACAAGTGAGTCCCTGAGCCCTGGTCTACATTCCAGAACCATCACATCTTCGAAAGTGTGTACGGCAGGCCAGGTTGAGTACTGGGATGACCTCTGAGATGGCTTCTGTGGGGCTGATTTCTCAACCTTCTGAGCCAAGCCAGCCAATCTGAGTGTCGTCTAAGGAAGGCCTTGCTTGCCAGCAGCTGGTCACTGTCTCAGGGTCAACTCCTTTAGAGTATACCACCCACCTTCAAATTGTTGAGGTGATCTGTCACCTGACGGGTATCTCCGTCTGGTTTATAGTCACTTTGGTGGTGCTTCCTCTCGGTAGGGTGTGAGTAGCACTTGAGGATGGGATTACAGTAGCATGTTTAATCCAGGAAAGGCATGGTTCTGAGGGTTCCACTCAAGCAAGCAGGGTGGGAACTTCACCCCAGCAAATCAAGATGCCTAGAGAAAGCTACGGCAGGAAGAAAGTGTCGTGAGGCCTCCGGCCCACGTGGGATGCAGCGCAGCCAGGCCGGTGGCACCCAGCAGTGCAGATGAGTGGCCTGGTGCTCTGCAGTGTGGCTGCAGTGGACGTGTTTTACCTGAGTTGTTTTAGAGCTCACGTGACTGGTTCTTTGCTCTGATTTGTATCGTGCATGTTTTTGTTTGTAGGCCTCTGATTTATCTAGGTCTCAAAATATTTGCTCGTTTTGGAATGTGTGAATTCTTACAGTGTTCTGAGGCAACGCTGAGATCATGGTTTCAAATTATTGAGACCAATTACCATTCTTCTAACCCCTACCACAATTCCACACACGCTGCAGATGTGCTTCACGCCACCGCGTATTTCCTTTCCAGAGACAAAATAAAGGTAAGCTAATGTGTGTGCTTCTCAGTTAACAGCACCGGTAGGCAGAGGCGGGGGCTTCTGCCTTAGCTGCCCTCCCTGCATGGTAATATGACCACTTAGTCCTCACTTGTGCGGCGTGCCACACAAGGAAACCAGCTGATAGATGAATGTGCAGTCTCTGCCACTCTATGAGTCCTTGGGGAGAAAGCCAACAAAGACAGAACAGGGCTGTGACTTTGGAGGAGAGGGGTTTCAGTTTGAACCTAAGGGCATGCTGAACCTCTTTTAGGACCCTCACCTGTGCTGTGTGCCCTGACCCTTCCTGCCCCGCTCCTCAGCCCCTCCCCGGCTAACCGTCTGACTCAGACATAGCTTCTCCTTTTCCTCCCCAGAGGTCACTCCTCTCCTGGTCCCTCTGCAGCATTTGCACAGAGCTGCCATTGTGTTCTTTCCAGAGCAGCAGTCTGAACAGGACTGCGTGAGCAGCCTCCTTCTCCACAGGGACTCAAGCTTCAGACATTATGGCTGCCGAGGCTCTTGAGACACACTCCTATGACGAACTCCCCTTTCTTCTTCCCTCCCTGTGCCTAGGACACGCAGGCAAACCACTCAGCTCACACTAGACCACTTCAGTGTCTGAAGCGTTTGTCTGGGACCAAGAATGGCTACAGCCACACAGGACCAGGCCCATCCACCGTGATCCCACATAATCTTATCACCATGGGACTTGTGTGTGGGAAACAACATGGAGGCTGCCCGGCACATGGCAGGGCCAGCACTGATGAGTGCTCCCCATGAGGGTTGGACCTCTTTGATCTGACTCTTCTGGGTCCTTCTGTGATACCACCAATTTTTTGTTGTTTTTAATATGGAGTTGGGCGTTTTTACCAGTTAGTTTTTGTCAGCTTGACATGAATTAAGGTCATGTGGAAAGAAGGAACATCAGATTGTCCAGTTAGCATGAATGGGGGCATTTTCTTGATTAATGATTGACATGGGAGGGCCCAGCCCACTGGGTGGAGCCACCCCGCACAAGTAGTCCTGAGGTATATAAAAAGCAGGCTGAGCAAGCCAATAGTCAGTGTTTCTCTGTAGTGTCTGCTTCAAGTTCCAGCCTTGGCTTCTCTCAAATATCTATCTGTACACTCCCTTGCTCCCAAGATGGTGTTGGTCAGTGTTTTATCACAGCAATGAAAGAAAAACCATGACAGCGTCAAGCCCAGGCCGTGTGCTTGCTGGGCAAGTGGTAGCACTGACCTCGATGACAGCGTCAAGCCCAGGCCGTGTACTTGCTGGGCAAGTGGTAGCACTGAGCTCGAGCCCAGTTCCTTTATATTTTAAAGATCAATACCAAGACCAAAGGTGGGATAAGAATGGGGAGAGAAGATGGTTTCCTTGAGCAGAGACAGGTGGCCAGGGAGGGTGCGGGTGTGTGTTGGGGGTGGGTGTCTGGGTTAAAGGGACAATTTTTGCTAGAGTTTGTTGTTGCTTTGAACAAATATATTCTAAGCGGGCCTAAAACAGTAGGTATTTTGAGATAGGATCTTGATCTTGTGTAACTGAGACTGGCCTTGAATTCACTGTGTTGTGGAGGCTGGTCTCAGATCCTCCTAGTGCTAGCTCCCAAAGAAAGGAAAAAGAAATGACAGATGGCTTTTGAAAAAAATTTTTTGAGACACAGTCTCATTAGATGGACCAGGTCGGTCTTAAGCTCAGAGATCCAGCTGCCTGTGTGTTCCAAGGGTTGGGGTTACAGGTGTGGCCACCGTTCCAGGCTCTGGCTTTTTTTTTTTTTTTTTGAGTATAATTATAACATTTCTACCTTCGCTCAGCTCCAAGCCTTCCCTTATTACCATCTCTGTTCTCCTTCAACTCCACGGCCTCTTTTTCCGCCAGTTTTTATTACATACATACATGTATTTGCATATGCGTCTATGCTTCTAAATATTACCTGTTGAGTTCATATAATGTAACTTGTATTCATGTTTTCAGGGCTGACCATTAAGCATGGGACCACCAATTGATGTGCTCTCCCCACGGGCAGACCACACCCCTTGCTCCCGGCTTTCCTCGGTTGCCTATGGTTTCTGTGCAGGGTTAAGGCCTCGTGGGCTTTTCTCCGTCCAGTTTGTCACATTCATTGGGTCATCCCTGATGAGCTCGCATTTGAGTAGCCATGTGCTTGGATAAATTTTGAAATAAAATGAAAAGTCTATCAAACCTATAGAATGGTCTGTCTGGGAGATAGCTTAGCCAGAAAAGCATTCACAGACAAAATTTGGGCTTGAGGTGTGGTCCATGCTTGTAATCCCAGCACCGCAAAGGCCAGCACAGGTAGATTCCTGGGGCTCACAAGCCAGCCAGCCTCACCTTGCCATAGAGCCCCAGGTCCCAGGGAGGGAACTGTGTCCCCAAAGAATAGGTAGATGCTCGTGATAAACATCTGAGGTTGGCCTCTGGCCTCCACATGCATGGATGCATGGGCATGAACACTCGTGTTTACACTCATTCACGTACATGTACACATGCACACAACCTACACATGCACGCGCACACACACACACACACACACACACGCAAGCGCACATGAAAGCTGAGCGTGATCTATGCCTGTAATCCCAGCACTTGACAAGAACTCCAGAAGTTCAAGGCTATCATAGGCTACATTGTGAGGTCGTGGCAAGCCAGTGATAGCCCACAATGGCTTTTGGAATTAAGACAACAGATTACCAAAACTAGAAATAAGGAGAACAGTAGTGACACATACATTTGAAAAAGTAAATGATAGAAAAATATTCCCACGTCTATATTAACTCAAAAATATAGAAGCTGATAGTTTGTTTTTAAGTGTATATAAATTTATAAAAGTAGAAGAAAACTAGCTGGTCTACCAATGTATCCCTGTAATCATAACTTCAGAAAGGTAAGGTTAGAACAGGAGTTCAAGGCTAGCCTTAGATCCTTGGAGAGGCTCTGTGTCTAATAAGGATAGGAAGGAGTCACACCTTATGTCAGCTAAACAAGCTAGCACCAAAAAGGAGGAGAAGGAGAAGTAAACTAACTCCCAATTGATGTAAGCAGTGTTCGTTTTGGGTTATTTATTTTAACTGTCTCTGGGCTTGTTTGTGGTGGGTCTGGAGAAAGGCCAGCAGCAAACCCCTGTGTGTTATGTGAGACTGAAGGTCAGTGAGTTGTTCTGTCAGCCAAGCAGAGAACCACAAGAGGAGGGAAGGCAGGGTCTGCTCAGACAACGCGATTCTCTCAGGAATCAGAGAAACTGTCCAAGTAACGGAGCAGAGGCAGCCTCTGGTGAAGGCTTGTCTGGGTGTCGCAGACACTGGCTTTCAATGAAGTTCTTGTTTTCAGGAAACTCTAGATCGCATTGACGAGGCTGCTGCCCTCATTGCTGCTGCCATCCACGATGTGGATCACCCTGGGAGGACCAACTCCTTCCTCTGCAATGCGGGGAACGAACTGGCCGTGCTGTACAATGACACTGCTGTGCTGGAGAGCCACCATGCGGCACTGGCCTTCCAGCTGACGCTTGAAAATGACAAATGCAACATCTTTAAAAACATGGAGAGGTGAGAACAGAAACTGTTCACTCTACAGCTCACCAGAGAAGAGGCTGTAGGCAAATGTGCATGGACCATCCACACCCAAACACCTCCATTACCCACACTGTCCTCACACCCCAATGCTGACCCATCCTGCACCCCGTACTGGAGATGAGTGGAAGGCCTCGAGCATGCGGGGCACGCTCTGTCTGCACGCTATTGAGCTCTGTCTGCAGCCCTTTTATAATTCTGTTTTGAGGCAGGATCTTGCCCAGGTTGACCTACACATCTCCCTGGCACACTGCTCATGGCCTTCTGCACACAGCACACGCTTGTCATTGTGTGTTTACAAGCCGCTCCCCTGAGGAGGCTTTCCCCCAGTCACAAGTTCTTCAGCACGTGTCCCATGGCTCAGAGGTATACCACTCGCCTAGCACGTACAAGACTTTTAGTTCTATCCCCAAGCTAATGTTTGATGTCCAGTCAGCTGTCTCGAGCTGGGCTGGCATGAACTTGAAGCCCTCCTGCCGAAGCTCCACAGGTGCTAAGATTACAGTCAGCACCTCACCCAGCTCAGGTTCTTAAACACTGCAGAGGCTCAGGCGGACCTGTGCCTTTGTTACTCAGTTTACCCTTCATGTTTAGCTCAGTGCCTGATACATAGCAGAGCTTCACTGAAGAGAGAAAAGGACATAGTGAGAGATACTTTAATTTGGATTTCAAAGGAAATTTTTCTATAGGATTTTAAAAAGAGTGTCTTGATTTCACAGAGCTGCTTTGTATTGTATCTGAGAATCCCAGAGGTGGGCTTAATAAGTTTGATTCATATGTGCCTGTAAATACACACTTTACATATGGAAAATGTGTAAGACCTGTCTTTGCTAGGACCTCCATTACCCTAGCGAGTTTTAAAATATCATGACCAAAAACAACATGGAGAAGAAAGGATTTATTTCATCTTACACAGGCAGGTAACAGTCCATTGCTGAGGGAGGGAAGTCGGGGCAGGAGCCTGAAGCAGAGGCCATGGAGGGGCACTGCTCACAGCCTGCTCAGGGTGCTTTCTTTAGCACCTAGGGCCAGCTACCCAGGGATGGCACTGGCCATCGTGAGCTGCACCCCCCCCCAAATAAAACACCAATCAATAAAATGTCCTCGAGGCCAGCCTGGTCTACAGAGTGAGTTCCAGGACAGCCAGGGCTACACAGAGAAACCCTGTCTCGAAACCAAAACCAAAAAAACAAAACAAAACAAAACAAAAAAACAAGAAAAAAGAAAATGCCCAGTAGGCTTGCCCACAGGCCAATCTGGAGGGACGTTTTCTCAGTTAAAGTTTCCTCTTGGAAAATGCCCTAGCTTGTATCAAGTTGACATAGAACTAGCCAGTTGAAGACCCCACTGACTTTGGATGTGTCCAGAGAAAGGAGGACCGCAGGGAAGGCGGGGCTACAGAGTCCGTTTCATACTCTTTTAAATTATATGGACCATCTTCTCAAAAAGTAAGACTTGAGAGTATCAAAATAAAAAAATAAAAACAAGAGTTAATGGAAAGGCTATGAGAAGGCCTGCCCTCACGGTCCTCTGGATCTCGAAGGACCTCCATCCAGGGTGAGTTGTTAGCGAGTGGAGATCGTGGGAATAAAGAGAATAGTCCTGCTTGGAGCAGTGGCATACACCGATTATCCCAGCCCTTAGAAGTCTCATACAAGAAGGTCAAGAGTTTGAAGTCATCCTGAGCTACACAGTGTGTCCTGCAGTGAGGGAGGAAGACAGGGAAAGGTCTTTGTTCATCCCCGTTACAACCTGAGAACTGTGTGAGTTGTACTGCAGAGTTATCACTAGGCTACGACGACGCTATAGTATCCTGCCTGTTAGCCGATCGTTAGCTTCCATCTGGTGATGTAGGAAGTGTGACTTCCAGTGGTACTAGACTGACAGCTACAGCAGGCATGCTCCCCGAGAAACAGGCTGTGTGTGGGAGAGCCTCCGGGTCTGAATCAGTAACCTGCAGCAGCCTCTCTGTCGTCTGAAACAGGAATGACTACCGGACACTACGCCAGAGTATTATTGACATGGTCCTAGCCACGGAAATGACAAAGCACTTTGAACATGTTAACAAGTTTATCAACAGCATCAACAAGCCTTTGACAGCTAAAGAAAATGAGGTGAGAGGAGCTGATTCTGCAGCCGTGCATCTGGGCATCTCACTCACCAGTGCTGTGAAATCTCAGATAGCAGCGCTTGGTGGGCAGGCTGAAATGGATTTTTCATTTTCTTTCCTGTCTTTCATTTGATTTGATGGTTTGTTTGTTTTCTTATCTATCTGATCTATCAGTCATGTATCAAATCTATAATTTATCTAACTATCATTTATCATCTACCTACCTACCTATCTTGAAGCAGGCCATCACTCTGTAACCCAGGCTGGCTAAGGACTCTTAGATCATCTTAACTCTCAGGTGCTGGGTTAGAGGAGCGAGCATTGGGCTTGGCGAATTTCTTTTTCATTGGTTTAAAAAAAATCACTAACATGCAAAACTCTGGCAGGAAGAAAACGAAAACATGCAACTAGGCATGTAAGCTAGAGTCTTCACGCTGGCCGTTCTTGTGCTGTCTCAAAATGTCCCTCCCTTTGAGTAGTCTAGGGCCAGTTGGAGCCCAAGAGGACTCATCTTTTTTTCTTTCCCTCCCTCCCTCCCTCCCTCCCTCCCTCCCTTCCTTCCTTCCTTCCTTCCTTCCTTCCTTCCTTCCTTCCTTCCTTCTTTCCTTCTTTCCTTCTTTTTGACAGTCTCTAACTATGTAGCCCTGGCTGACTTGGAATTCAATATGTAGACCAGGCTGTCCTCATACTCACAGAGATGTGCCTGTCTGTGCCTCCCAGCTGCTGGGGTGGAGGGTGTGGTGTGCACGGCCACCCTGGCTCCTAGGGTGCTCCTAACAGCTACTCTCATGAGTGTGTCCACGGTGGCAGCAGCTGTCCTGGCAGAGGGGTTGGGCTGGGAAGGAGCTTCTGTTGAGATCACCAGAGCGACAGTATTGTTACTGCACATTTCTGGATTTGGAATATGGAGTCCCCAACTTCCTAGGAAAGGTGACGTGGACGTCATGCCGGCAAGAGATGCCTGCCATGGAGCAGGTGTCATTCCCGTCATCCTTCTGCACCGGTTCCTTGTCCATAGGACAGTAGAGCTCAGGCTCAGGTCAGTGTAGCACAGGAGGAGCCGAGCACCCCACAGCACAGCTTGCATTTGTCTGGTCTGCTGGGACACGTCATTCCCTCTGAATCCTGCCCTCGTGTATTAATGTAATAGGAATGGTACTTCCCACAGAGTCTTTGTGAGCATAGATTTAAAAAAAAAAAAAAAAAAAGACTTGGTGCCCTTCATATGTCATCGATATTGAGGCAGTGTAGGGACTGTCACTTAACCTTGTCTGGGTTCACTGAAGGCTGAATCTCAAAATGCCGGTCGCAAAGCCCACTGAGGATTGGCTTCAGGGACTGGGAGACCACAGACCACTGTTGTTGTGAGAAGAGAGAATTCTATTTTTCCAACTCATTTTGTTTCTCAGTAAATATCCTAAAAACAAAACCAAACCAAAACCATCCTTTAAGTTCTTACCAATAGGGAGAGATAGAAAAGAAGGGAAAGGCCAGAGCAATTGGGAGAGGAAGTAATCACAGGGAAGGAACAGCAAGGAAGAGACAGGTGGGTTTGCCAGGCCCAGTGTCCCCTGTGTCCTGCTGAACGCTCCTTTAGAGAGGAAGCCACCCGGTGCTCAGAGCATCCACAGCGCACTGCTGCTGGTGTCTTCACCTTCCTGGCTATCCCTCCTGTGCTCAGAGCCCCCTGGGAAGGTAGCTGGGCATGAGAGCCCATTCTGATTGCTTTGACTTCACTCATGGTCCAGGAAACTGACAGAAGTCTGGAAGACATAGATGCTATGCTCAAGACTCCCGAGAGCCGGGCCCTCATCAAGAGAATGATGATTAAGTGTTCCGATGTGTCCAACCCCTGCCGGCCCCTAGAGCACTGCATCGAGTGGGCTGCACGCATTTCAGAGGAATATTTTTCTCAGGTAAGATGCTGAATCTTAAATACACACAAACACACACACACACACACACATGCACACAGAGACTGGGGGTGGGGAACACTATGAGGCTACCAACTTAAAACTAGGAAAGAAAACTCTAAAAGAAATTCTGTCTTTGAAATTTTATCATTTTGTACATTTATTGATAACAAGTTGTCATCAAATTGTTTTCTTTTTTTTTTAAAGATTTATTTGTTTGTTTGTTTGTTTTATATGAGTATACCATTGCTGTCTTCAGACACACCAGAAGAAGGCATTGGATCCCATTACAGATGGTTGTGAGCCACCGTGCGGTTGCTGGGAATTGAACTCAGGACCTCTGGAAGAGCAGTCAGTGCTCTTAACCGCTGAGCCATCTCTCCAGCCCTCAAACTGTTTTTCATTATCTGTAAATGTGTTACATTTTTTTGGTGCTCATTCTTGTAGGACATCTTTGCTGGGTTTGGAACCCTGGGTTGGCAGGTTTCTCCCAAAAGCACTGTCGCTCACATCTTCCTGAGATACAGGAAAACAAACTGCTCAAGTGTTTGTAGATGTGGGAATGGCCGCATGCAGAGACTGAATAAGCACAGTGAGGGGCATTGAGGGGCAGTGAGGGGCAGGGCTGGAACAGTGGCAGGGCTTGGCCTGAACTGTGGGTCTGCCTTTAATCCATACACTTTTATGAGGCAGAGGCAGGCAAATCTCTATGAATTTGAGGTCAGCCTGGTCTACAAAGCAAGTTTCAGGACAGCCAAGGTTATACAGAGAAACAGTATTAGAAAAAATATTTTAAATAAAAGGACAGAGGAATAGTGGGCCCCCACAGGTGCAACATGCACATTATAAACAAGCAGAGCAGCCGCACCAGTTCAGACAGAGCCATCCAGACACACGTACTTCCGGACACAGATCATTTCCTCATGAGGAAAGGGCCCATAACCAGAATGTGTATGCATTTAATATCGGCAGAGTCAAAGGTCATCCATAGTCAGCAACTGATAGAATTTACTGAAGACAGATGATTCAAATGTTAATGGCAGAGACAATGCCAGCCTCGTGAATTATATGAGAAAAGAAGGGGCAGCACACTCCTTAGCCATTTTCAGTGCCCAGCAGGTAATGCCATGGGCAACACAGTCTGCTTCTCAAGAACATGTGAGTGTAGGGAAGCAGAATCAGATGCTAGTTAGAGGATATTGTGTCATCACCGAGTTGGTTTGTTCCCAAAAGTACAAGGTTGGTTGAATACTAGGAAAGTCACTTATTTTAATAATTTGCTATATCCCTTGAATAATAGAGGAAAATCTTATGATCATTGCTTCAGTTATAGAAATGACAGCTTAGTCACAGGAACTCTTAGCAGACTAGGAATAGAAAGAAATTACTTTGTTGGAGACATGGTCTCTGTGTAGCCCTGGCTGTCTAGAACTTGCTGTGGAGATCAGGCTTGCCTTTGGCTCCTGATGCTGGGATTAAAAACATCACATAAGCCAGGCAGTGGTGGCACACGCCTTTAATCCCAGCACTTGGGAGGCAGAGGCAGGCGGATTTCTGAGTTCGAGGCTAGCCTGGTCTACAGAGTGAGTTCCAGGACAGCCAGGGCTACACAGAGAAACCCTGTCTCAAAAAAAAAAAAATCACATAAGGTGCATCTAGCCATATGCTGTTGTCCAAATAATGGAACCAAAGCCCACTCCTTGCTCTGCTCACAAGGGATGGACAATGTATAAAAAAAAAAAAAAAGAAAAGAAAAAGAAAATAGTACATCTTAATTTGTAGACAACTTGGTGGCTTTTTGTTTTGGAATTTTGCTTTTATATTTTGGTGTGTGTGTGTGTGTGTGTGTGTGTGTGTGTGTAAAAATTCACAAGATACATAGCATTGCACTAATAATTAGATTTTATTAGAGCATAAAGGACAATAAGCTCAACATATAAAAATCAAGTTGGATTTTATATACTAACAACCAGAAAATAAGCTTAAACACTGCTATTATTTTAAAACTTAAAGTAGCAATAAAAGGCAAAAACTGCTTAGAGTAAATGTACTAATAGATGGTCAGACCTCATGAAACATTGCTAGAAACTTAAAGAACACATGGATAAATAGATATTCCTTGGTCATGTATTAGAAGGAGCTCTCCCAAGATTTTCAAGTTGGCATTGGAAAGAGAGCATCGAGGAGGATTGTTAGCTGGACTGCAAATGCTAAACCGTGCTGCTTCTAGAGAAACTACAGCAGAATTTCCCCAGTCGTTCTGAAACGGACAGACTTTTAGGTTCAGAAAGCAACAGCTATGGCAAAAAGAAAATAGATAGACACTATTGTGGTGGTTTGAACATGCTTGGCCTAGGGAGTGGCACTATTAGGAGGTGTGGCCTTGTTGGAGGAAGTGTGTCCCTGTGGGAGTGGGCTTTGAGACCCTCTTCCTAGCCGCCTGGAAGCCTTTGGATCAAGATGTAGAATTCACAGCTCTTTCTCCAGCACCACACCTACCTTCATGCCGCCTTGCTTCCTGCTGTGATAATGGACTGAACCGCTGACACTCAGCCAGCCCCAATTAGATGTCCTGTATAAGAGTTGCCTTGGGCTGGGCAGTGGTGGCGCACGCCTTTAATCCCAGCATTTGGGAGGCAGAGGCAGGTGGATTTCTGAGTTCGAGGCCAGCCTGGTCTACAGAGTGAGTTCCAGTATAGGCAGGGCTACACAGAGAAACCCTGTCTCGAAAAACCTAAAAAAAAAAAAAAAAATTGTGCTAAAAATCAGTAAGCAGGACACATTGTGAGAAATACAAGTCATTTCTGACAAAGGACTGAACTTAGTGCATAATGAAACTATGTTACAGTAGTAATCCAAGCCAGCCAGTTAGAAATAATAAATATTTCAGTAGCCATTTCATAAAACATAGTATGAATTGCAAATAATTACATAAAAAGCACCTTACATCATCAGGGAAATAAAAAAAAAAAAAGAAAGAAATTCTAGCACATACAGAAGAAAGGTTTAAATTCAGACTGCCGAGGCCAGCTGTGATCTGCACATACAGAATCCCAGCACTGGGAGCTGGAGCTCATGTCGGGTGTAAACTGAGTCCCATTATAATCTGAGCTAGAAATGAGATTGTATTAGCACACACACATACCCCAGAACACCTAACAAGATGAACTCTTGGTGACAGCATGGAACAACATCAAAAGCACAGCTGCCACTTTATTGACCAGATGAACAAACTCTTGTGTCGTGACATTTATAACATACGATTACCCTTTCAGATCATACAGAACTTATGTTCCTTTAGATAGTGTCACTATTAACATTAAACTCACAGTCTTCCTGCTTTCTATGTGATTAAATTACACCCGTGCCACCACCCCGGTCTGGTGTTGACCTCCATTACCTGAGGCTGGCCCTCCTGCCCTCTGCTTCCTCAGTAGTGGGCTTAAAGGCACAACCATGCTTCATTTATTCGGTTCTGGGGATTGAACTCAGGGCCTCGTGTACTAAACAATTGCTCAGCCGTTGGAGCTGCCTTATTTGGTAGCTCAGGCTGTCCTGGAACTCACTATGTAACCAAAGCCTTGAACTCAGAGTCCTCCTGCCTCAGCCTCCTGAGTACTAAGGCTTCACTGACACCCCCCTCCCCTTCTGTACCACAGTGGATCCCTGGAGTGAGCACGCCCGTACTCAGGAAACCCACAGCTGTGCCAAACTCCTCCCACATGCTGAATTTGTACCAATATCTTGTCTAGACATTTTTTAATCAGTCTCCACGTGGATATCGGTCTGGTAGGGTTTGTTTTCAGTCTCTGTTGTTATTAGGGTGTAACTGTTGTTACGGCCCTGTTGTTCTCTCACCAGGCTTTCTAAGAGGAATGAGAAACGTTCTCTCTGAGATTTTTTTTTTTTTAATTTTGAAGCAATTGAGAAAGATTGTTGATTTTATAAACTTTTATGAGGCATTTCTCCTGCATTTTCTCCACTAGTTAATAGGTCTATTTATAGTCCTACAAGACAGCACAGTTGTAGCTGCCGTCCAGGGACAGCGCCATGATTCTGCTCATGTTTGGCACCTGTGTGGGCACATTGGGCATTTGTGGCTTGGAGGATGGTGGGTAGTGAGTGACAGGACCTGAGGTAGGTGACCAGATACTGCTCTGACCTGAGGAACACTAGCAAGGAAGCTTCCAGCTATTGAGAGTGTTTGGGATGTCCTCAAGGGTTTTCACTCTGGAAACAGCTCGCTGTCTGGCAGCTCTGGTTTGCTTGGCTGTTGCTACACTGGGCTCTCCAGCCAGCCTTCGGGGTTGTCTCAGGTACTCTGGGTGGGGCTGCTCCGTGGCAGGCCAGGACTCACGTCTGAGATCACGGGTGTTCTGCTTCACAGACCGACGAAGAGAAACAGCGCGACTTGCCTGTGGTGATGGCAGTCTTTGACAGGAACACCTGCAGCATTCCCAAGTCTCAGATCTCCTTCATTGACTACTTCATCACAGACATGTTTGACGCCTGGGATGGTAAGGAGCCCAGAACATCTTCCTTAAGGGCAACCACGAGTTAGGAAGTAGCATGTGGGGGTTAGACTTTCAGGATGGAGAGAAGGTAGCCAGTCCAGAGGATTGGTACCCAGAAGAGGACCCTAAGGATGTCTCCAGCTCCTCTGGGGGAGGCGCTGCAGAGCTGATGCCTGCAGATGGGGTGGGCTGAGAACAGGTGTCCCTGCACTCCAGTCATCCCAGACTTTGGCATTACTGCCGACTCCCTTCTGTCCCTTTTAAAATGCTGGGCCAGGGCAGAGCCCTGTGGCAGAAGGCCCAAGTTCCATTCCCAGAAAGAAAGTGGGCAAGCCTGAACCTTTCATAAGGAAGGCCGTGCCGACACTGCAGACACGGCGTCCCTGTCTGTCCCGCCAGCCTTTGTGGACCTGCCTGACCTAATGCAGCACCTGGATGACAACTTCAAGTACTGGAAAGGACTGGACGAGAGGAAGCTGCTCAGCCTCCGGCCCCCTCCAGAGTAGCGTGAGGTACACGCCGGGCCCGGGCTCTGTCCTTCCTGGCCTCTGCAGTTTCTTAGCCCTTTCAATGTTAGACAGAGCTCGCCCCTCATCTGCAGAGCCTGTGAAAGCACACGGGGATGTCCACCTTCTGTGGCCACCCTCTCATGCCATAGCTTGCTGCAAGGCTCTTTAGTGAGGCACCCAAGAACTGTGGTTTGTATGGACTCTGTTACCACAGGCCCAGCCGGGACCCTGCAGAGGTGACCCATGGCTCTCCTGGCAGTGACAGCGACCATGTGTCCTAGCTCCTTGAGCAGCAGAGCAGATCTCAGGCACAGCCGCTGGTTGTAGAACAGTGCTGCACAGGACTTCTCTCTTAAGCTGACTAGCAAATGAGGCAAAGACATTTACAGTTGATTATCCCAATTATTACGTTTTATTTATTTTATTAGATGTTTGATGTTTTCTATGAATTTAAAAATACTTCAAAGCCAAAGCCAATTTCACATGCCTTGACCAAATTCATGACTTGTGTGTGATTTGGTTACAGACTTATTTTCATAATGCAGATTTAGAATTTTAAAATGATGCATTTTCCCCACACTATGGAATATGTTAAACTCTTCTCTTTGATATAAGTAGGAAAGGCTTTATGTAGTGAGTCTCACTCTAATATGTAACTGAGAAGCCATGTCTGTGCAGACCGGGTTCTGAGCAGCAGCTGTCATGAGTTTTGCAGGTGCCTTCTCAGAGAAAAAAATGAATTAGACCAGTTTTTTTCCTAAAATTTTATAATTGAATTTCTAAAAGCCTGCCTCATTTTATACCATTTCTATAAAATATGCCCTATAAAAAGCAAAGCCAACCTGGGTACCTAGCAGCTGATATTTTACAACTAACATGGGATACTTGAGTCTAGAAATATAAAGGTTCTATCTCCTCACGTTTTGAAGAAGCTTAATACTATAAAGATGACATCCAATGACATGTCAAAATATTAGGCTCATTTTAAACTTGTATTTTTTCTGGATGAAATTAAACTATTTGTTTTTAAGAAATCATTTGTTGCCATTTCTTTGTATTGTGTAATAAATAATCTTTCTAAATTAGATATAGACATCTCTTTTGTAGAACAAATTAGCAACTAAACAATTTTGTAAGGTCCTGTGGAGCCAGAATAGTATGGTGGCTCTTTAGTTTGACCTCAGACTCTACCGTGGAGGAGAACACGAGCTCTGTTTCCCTGCATGAAGATGCCTGACCTAAAATAACTGCAACTGAGCTAGGGAGAGACATCTTACCCTTCCCAGGGCCAAGAAGAAAGAGGCTGGTCCACCACACGAGCCCCAGCCAGAACAGTGAGAGTGGACTTCACGATGAGTATGCCTAACAGTTTTAAGAGCTAAAAGAAGCTATGAGAATGACAAAGTAGACAAGATGGTTTTGTTGTTGTTGCTGTTGTTTGAGACAGGGTTTCTCTGTGTAGCCCTGGCTGTCCTGGAACTCACTCTGTAGACCAGGCTGGCCTCGAACTCAGAAATCCACCTGCCTCTGCCTCCCAAGGGCTGGGATTAAAGGCGTGTGCCATCACTGTCCAGCAGACAAGATGTTTTTAAAAGGAAAAATCTAGAAAAGAACCACACCAGACATTCTAGAGCAGTGGTTCTCAACCTTCCCAATACTGTGACCCAAAGTAATACACTTTCTTCATGCTGTGGTGACTCCCAGACATAAAGCTACTTTTGTTGCTACTTCAGAAGTGTTAATTTTGCTACTGTTATGAATCATAATGTAAATATCTGTTATGCAGGGTATCTGATATGTGACCTCTGTGAAAGGGTCCCGAAGGCATAGCAACCCCCCGGTTGAGAACCACTGCTCTGGAGTCTAGGAGATCCAGGACAAAGAGCAAAGGGAAGATGCACTAGGTAAGGCAAGGTTTGAGCCTGGTCCAGTTTGACAGACCCAGCCCTTGGCTTTAAAGGGCACTCTGAATCCCAAGTAGAATACGTGTGTTGTCAGCTTTCCATTACAGTAACAAATGCCTGAAACAAAGGAAAGGGGCTTGGGCTCGGTGCTCTGGAGGTTCCAGTCCAAGCCATCCGCCATGTGACGAGACATCGGTGGGTGCTGACTGAGGACGGAGGATCCAGTTCCACCACTCCCAAGTCCGAACTGGAAACTATGCCTTTAGCCTTGGCACTGTAGGAGACCCCCACACTAGAGCACTGCATAAAGGAAAAGACAGATCTCTTGAGTGGAACTAGACGCTGCCGCTGGGAGTTTCAGTGGCCAAAAGACAAACGGCCTAACATCGAAGAAAGCTCCCCTCCCCACCCACTTAGCTACACTGGCATTCAAAAGGAAACTCAGGTAACTCAGACCAGCACCGCTCACTACAGATGCCCTTTAGAGGTCAGATCCAGCAAGAGGGGAAAATGGACAAACGGGGGTTGGGGCGGGGGGGGGGCGGGGGCTGGCGGAGAGGTAGAGAGAGGAGAAGGAGCAGGAAGCTGGCTTCCCACTTGCTTCAGAGGCGCTGCTGGAAGAAGCGCTGCTGAGTCACAGGGAAGCCTTTTCCCTGGTGGCTGCAGAAACAATGGACCGGGAGTGGAGCGCCGGCAGCTCACACAGGCCAGGAAGAGGCTGAATCCGCGAACAATTGTCTCATCCTGCTGTGCCCAGAGGAAACTCGAGGCCCTCACAACTGTCACACCGGAGGCTGTGCACTCTGTTCTGTGGTTTCCAGTCAGAAAGGAAAGACTCCAAGGAAACAGAGCTCCCCGGCCACCGCTGTCAGAAAGGTCTGCACCCCGCAGCCTTGGTGTCCCAGGGAAGGCGCGCACATCCCTGCCTCTCGGCGCCACCCTTCCGGCTTCCTTCAACCCCGCCGCTCCACAGCCTCCAACCCCACCTGCAAGGCCGGGTTCCTGGCCGGTGGAGCGGGCCCTGCTTAATCTGAAGGGAGGACGTAAACTCAGCCGCCAGGAAGCAATAGCATTCAGTCAGGGGCCAAGATCAGCACTGTGGGTGGAAGAATGCGGGAGGGTCGGGGCAGATCAAGGCTCTGTGCCATTGTCCAGGAGAGTGGAAATTATACAGCCAGGGGGTAGACCGATCAGGCTTTCTAAAAATAGGGTTAGGGCTTGGAAAATGGCTTGGTGGTCAAGGGCACACCGCTCTTCCAGGGACCAGGATTTAGTTCGCCGCACCAACAACCACCTGTAATTCCAGGGGCTCTGACGCCCCCTTCTGGTCTCCAGGAACACTTACACGCATGTGTACCCTTCCACAAGCCATACATAAATAAAAATAGGGCTGTTTAGTATACCTGGGGATGAGAAGACAAAAATAATTTGGAGGGGGGCGTGGAGGTAGGGAGATGGTTCTTGTGAATGGAAGCTCCTGAAAAGAAGCTGTGTCTGCAGACACTGACTGGTAGAACTGCAGTCCTTGGGGTAGCCTGGAATGTCACAGGTCCAGAGGCTAACTGCCGTATCCCAGGGTAGCTCTCTCCTCAGAACAGTCATTCCTTGTCCACCTGCATCAGAACTAAACTAACATCCTGTGACTATGAGAGATATCTTCTAGGATCCTTTGACTTAGAAAGCCACCGGCTGCCACCAACCCAAAAGCTAAGATGTCACGGGACAGCATCCTGGGCCTGGAGAGAAACTCCCTCATCTCACTGTGCCTGTTCTCGGATATAATTTAAACTTTATTTGTTCTGTAAAACTATAAAACTTCATTAAACTGCTTCTGTGTTGAAATTTGAATTTGGGGTAACCTGCAGTTGTGTTCCCAGGCCCCGGTCACTCAAAAGGGCTCTAGAATAAACTAACTCTTGCTCTGTTAAGATGGTGATGATGATGGTAATGAAGATAGTGATGATGGTGGTGATGGTGTGTTTTCTTGCACATGCACACGCACACATGGTGGGGAAAAGCACTTGCAAAAGTATAATAATTCTAGAGTTGGAATTCCCCTGACCCCACAGGTCTGGGGACCTGGCCTATAATCCCAGCATGCAAGAAGCAGGGCAAGCCACTAGCCTGACTAGCCTATGGCAAGCTCCAGATTCAAGGAGAAGCCTTGTCTCAATAGACAATGTTGTGAGCAATGGAGAAAGGCACCGAACTCCAACCTCAAGCCTCCACACTCAGGCACCAGTGCCCCACACACGTGTATCCACTCACCAGTGCCCACACACACACGTGTATCCACTCACCAGTGCCCCCACACACGTGTATCCACTCACCAGTGCCCACACACACGTGTATCCACTCACCAGTGCCCCACACACGTGTATCCACTCACCAGTGCCCACACACACACGTGTATCCACTCACCAGTGCCCACACACACACGTGTATCCACTCACCAGTGCCCCCCCACACGGGTATCCACTCACCAGTGCCCCCACACACACACGTGTATCCACTCACCAGTGCCCACACACACACACGTGTATCCACTCACCAGTGCCCACACACACGTGTATCCACTCACCAGTGCCCACACACACACGTGTATCCACTCACCAGTGCCCCCCACACGTGTATCCACTCACCAGTGCCCACACACACACGTGTATCCACTCACCAGTGCCCACACACACGTGTATCC